AGAAAAAGGTATCGGATGCAGACAATAAAGCCGAGCATTCAATTAAACGTAACAGCTTCTAACGTTAGAGTATGGTCAGTGTCAAAATCAAAAATAAGGTTAAATAGGTGATTGGTCAACTGTTGAAGTAAGGAATTCAGCTATTGAAGATTTGCCTTGGAAAAATTATCGCCAGATCGGTGCCCCGACATTTACTCCTGCGACAATTAGCCCTACCCCGGTCTTTATTTCGTCAGAAATAATATAGGATCTATGTTGTCATCTTTGATTTTAGGATTACGATGAGGCTAATAAGCGTTTGTGTGAGTAATTGCCTATGCCCTCACGTTGACCATGTGGACGGAATACTCCCCAGGGAGTGGAGATGGTGCACATTGTCCGTGAATGAATCCGATGACCGGGATAATAATATCTGTAAAGCGCTTATAGACGGTATTCCATATTAAGCTCTATATAAATCCAGATTATTATTATTATTAAGTGCTTGGTGAACTGTTGAAGTTAGCAATTCAGCTAGATAATGTGGAATAAAGGCCATTTATTGTCGCCAGATCGGTGACCCGACGTTTGCTTTTTTCGGCATTGTTAGGCCTACTTCGGACTTTATTTCGTCAAAAATATATAGGCTTCAGCTTGTCATCTTCAATTTAGGGTAGGTTTATGGTTTGGGTTAGGATAATGATGAGGCTTATAAGAGCTTGGTCAACTGTTGAACTAAGGAATTTAGCTAGATTAAGTGTAGAACATTCTCTACGGAGCAACTTAATTTGTCGCCAGATCGGTTACCCACAATTTCGTTCCAGCGACAATTTCCCTGCATTGGCTTTATTCATCAATGGTATCGGGTAAGGTTAAAGGTAATACAAGTTTTGGTATGGGGTAATGATTTTGGTTCAAATGAACATATTGGAAGCATATGCGATCCAATAATATAGTATTACCTTTCATGGCTATTATTAGGTTTTAATTTAGGTTTATTGTTAGTGTTAGGATTAGGATGAGGTTAAGTTTGGCCGCAGAGTAATTGTCGTTAGACCGTTGTTTACCACCGATAAATTCAATATTTCTTACCTCGTGGCGGAGCAGATCCAGCAGTGGTTTTTAATAAGCCGTAAATGATAAAGATGGTCATGATTCTCTTCCACCTTGAATCCATTGCGATGCTTATTCTTGATTCTTGTGAAGGGAACAACAGTTTTGAAACCAATCCTGAGATACAGTAGTTTTCTCTACCTATGATCCGTAAACTACTAATTCAGTTAAACCGTAGGACTGCTCTGAGTCTAAAATCATGTTTAACAAAAAAGGAAAATTTAATATACTTCAGACTAATTTCCTTTGTTGAACCAGATTTTGATGAAAAGCGTAAAGCTAACGTCGTGTTTAAATTTCAATAGAATGCAGGCCTATGTTACCACCAAACGAAATAAAAGCTACGATATGATAAAACATGCACATTTTAACGGGGCTACATGAAATATTCTGCTGTTCCTATTGGCCGCTTGATCATTATTATTCACAATCGATGTTTCATATTTTGCTCTTTTTCTCTTCCCCTTCACCTCTCTCTCTCCCTCTTTCTATCTCCTTTGGTCCCTTTCTCTATAACATTTCTGTTTGCTAGTTTGATCTCTTTCTCTCCCTCCCTCTCTCTCTCTCTCAGTCCTTTTTTTATTCTTTCTGTACTCTCTATACCCATTAATTTCAAGGTCTAAAAAGCACTCTTTGTTTTCATTTCCAATACACTTGTCCCAAAAATGAGAACGCTGCGCTCCGACTAAATTAATTTATCTGTAGTTGTGACAAAATATTTGTGATAAAATATCCAATTAAATGAGCGCCCATAACACTCATATTAAAGTAATTATCTGATGGGCCAACTCCAAAACCCTAATAAATATTTATGAAATGAAATTACAGGCGAACCATGTTTATCAGACCATCACCTTTTGGTAACAATGTGCTTCTGGGGCATGAAATTAGGATCGAAATATCGAATGGAAGTGAGAAGGTGTCAGTTCATGTAAATGTTTAGCAAATACTGACTAAAGACTGCAACACACTTTTAGGCTCTGGAGGGCTCAAGAGTGCAACAATTAGACTAATAAAAATGCAAAAACACTCGGTCGCTACGCTTCCTTACATAATTCCCTTCAAAATGTACAAGTAAATGTTGTAGAAAATTTGTATTCTGTTAATTGGTATCACCGTGATACATTCATTGAGAGGGGGTTGGGAGTGAACTATTTTCATTCGGGGAATCTTTTGGGTATACGGCGGACGCGTCTCTAGGCACACATATTCTTCTATGCATTGACGCCCATGATCCCTGATTTCTTCTATACATTTTATTAGTTGACAATTATATACCTTTATTCTCCTTTTAATACCATCTTTTTCTCTCTCCCCTCTCCCTCTCCTTTGCTCTCTCTCTCTCTGTCTCTCTCTCTGAGTTCAATATATTATTCATCTCTCCACCACTTTGACCATCAATATATATGGAGCAAGATTTATGAATATTTAATCCATTTAGTTCAAATCGACTTTCACCAAAAGGGAGAGCGGATTAGGTGTTCTCATTTCATAAATTTAGTAATTAGATGACAGCTTCTGGCCATCCTAAAACCCAAATAAATATTTAAATGCATGTTATCATGCCAGAATCTTCAATAATAAGGTCGATAATTTTAGCTTTAAAATGCCATTAAGTAAATGGATATTTATTTACTTCGTGCAAAGCATGTATCACGATGTCACAGAAATACACTGTTATAACAATACAATATTTTAAAAGATTGAATTGTGTGTAATATACTTCCCTATATTTGTCATTCAGACATTATACCCTCTCAAACTATTTTGTTGGTAATATTTTTTTTTCTTCGGTCTGTATACCCCATTGCTCGGTTTTGTGGCCCTCCCCTGTGTGTGTGCGTATGTTTGTGTGTGTGTGTGTGTTTTCCCCTTCCCCCTCTCTCTTAGTCCAGATTCTGGCCTATTGATCTCACCACACCAACGCTATCTCTTCCTACTTACTTGCTACCAGCCGATGATGGCGTGATCATTAAATTAGAACGCCCGGCGAAAAAAGGCTGGGCTGGCGAGCATAATTATGAGTTTGTTGATAACGCCATCTTCGACGGCTTGAATCAAGTGTGTAGGGAAATTATAAAGGACCGTGCAGATTCTGGACTACCTCTTTCTATCTCCATCTGTCTCTTTCTTCATGATTTTGACTCTCACATTTTTTGCCGATCAGTGTAAATTGAGGGGCTAGGTACCATCTTTCTCCTGTTCCAACGTAAATGACTTGGGGTGGTGTACTGTATGTTTAAAGGCGGAAAGCTTTACACGATTTCAAAGTGCATTATATTTTCAACACTTTCATTTTTATTCTGGATAGGATTTTAGGATAGGCCAAAATCAACTCCTTAAGTTAAAATTTCAACTGGCCGAAAAAAGTACCAGATATGTATGAGCCGTGACAGAAATAAAAAAAGATTATGTTGAATAGGTAGATTTGAAATAGCAGGTACAAATTTGGGAGATATCGGTATTGTGATTATAATTATTTCATACAAACAAAAATGACTTTGGTACGCCAACGGGTACTTATACAAACCCGGGTGGAGAGAAGCAATCGAGATGAAATGTCTTAATTGCTAGAGGACGTAGGTGCTATGTACCCATGTCCTTCACATCTCAATTTCAAGTATTTAAGTATCTTAATTATGTTCATGACACTTTTTAACACATTGTAGGCCTGCCGCCTTAGAGGAGAAGTCCACTCTGTTTTAACAGTATCAGAAAAATGAGAGAAATAAATGGGTCAGTGAAAGTTTGAGCAAAACGGATTAGAAATAAGAGAGTAATGAATTTTTGAAGGTACGATCAATAAAACACGAATCGGCATCTCTCTGATGTAACTTGCGATCGCCAGCTCCCCTCCCATTTGCCCTGTACTACAGAACTTCAACAAATTACATTTCCCCTTAATAATTTTTTTTTGAACAGATTTACCCTGAAGACAATTATTGCAAATATATTTGTATACAACCCTGTATGAAACAAATTGATTCCATCATCAATATCCAAGAAAATGAAAGCTTATAGAATTTTCTGTTAGATACGTCACAGTGTTGTCAGTTTGTGTTTCACTTGTGACAACTTCAAAAATACATAACTTTCCCATTTTTAATCGGATATTGGTCAAACTTTCGCTGTTTCTTACATTTATCTGCTTTTATTGAAATAAACTTAATATCAGGATGGACTTTTCCCTTTAAAGGTACTATGTCCCATTTGCAGGCCCCAAAAATGAAAAGGTTTAAATCTAACGGCATTTGAATGATAATACTAATTTAGAACTTCCCTAAAAAAGGTTGGGCTTGAAAATGTCTTCAAGTGGGAAAATAACGACTATTAGTTGTCAAATCGACTTAGGAGCTATAGAGCCAATAAGTAATAGTCTTGATTTTCAGACCATTGTACCGAATGGTCATACGTTTTATGCTGCGCAAATATTCAATCAGTTTAATTTTGGCCATCACAATAGGTGGGTTATTGATATAGACAAATGCTCATGTACCCTTTACAACTCATTTTATGTATGTTATTACCAAAGAAGGAAAAAGCCAGTCAGTCACTCAATAGTGTCTGACAGTTAAGTCTAGCAAGTAAACGGGTTTCCTTGCATAATTTGAATATTAGGACACTGCTAATGTTTAAATTTCATAGATAGGACATACTTGACATATTCATAATTCCTGCAAAGTTCTACAGAATTTGAGGTTGGCTGCAAAAGGGACAAAGTACCTTTAACGCATACGTTTTAGATGTTATCTTATGAACTTTCTGGTAATTTCACCTGCCAGGAGGTGCAACATCACTTTCCCCTCTAGATCCATACAAATATTTTTTTTTGCTAAATATCTTCCGTTCTATAAACGAAATTCGGAAAGAAATTAGAAATTAAAAAAATGACTGGAATATGCTATTGATTACTATAGTAAATGAATTTTAATATCATAGTTACAAAGGTTAACATTCGTTACACATGTATATACAAATATATATAAAATATATAAAATGCATAAAATATATCCATGAAATACATGTCAATGTCCTACTCTACATTACGTTTATGTATATCTTGGCAACTTTTAGAATAAACCTGAGAAAGACAATCACAATCTACAACGAATATCCTCTACTACAATGAAATATAGATTCATATGGCACAATTATGATTTATTTGATAAAATTTAATAGGGCTTGCCTTTTATATTACAATTTTAACTTCTTTTAATTCGGATCGTGAAATGAGATATTATTCAGGTGAAATTTATTCCACGTGATTTCCCTCTTATTCAAGATCATAAATTGAACGTGTCCGTTCCACAATCGTTATCATATTACAAAAAAACAACACTTTTAAGGCCAGATTTGTATCAATATGTATATAAAAGAATACTATACAGCGTATTCATTTACTAGAACGTCTTAAAGCCTGTCTGCACTATTTTGACCCTGGTGGTCACTGACAGGTGGTTATATCATCCAATTGGCTCTCAAGTAACATAAGAAAAAGAGGATCATGGGTGACCACGGGTACCGTTTAGGCATTGTTGGCTGTATAGAGGGCGCAAGTAGCTATAAGTCGTACAGTGGGGCTTTAAGTCTTTTCCCTCGAATTCGGACCAGCTTGTCATTGACGGAAACGTCTATTTGAAAAACTGTGGTTGTAAACTATAGAACCGTATTTAAAAAATGTGACCAATCTCATTGTACGCTTTACTAGTACCCATAACAGGGTCAGTTTGTCGTCGCCATCAGCTCTCTTTTATGGAATTTGGGCCAGCTATGGGGCGAGCAAAATGTCATTTATCGACAAAAACGCCTCATAATGTTGGTGTAACTATTGTTCCCTTTACAAGCAGTTAGGCCCCCCCCCCCCCAAAAAAAAAAAAAAAAAAAATCTTCTGTACTTTACGTACAATAATTGGTTAAAACCTCCTATTTGGAATACTGTGGGGCGGTGAAACTATATTCACATACTTTGTGTGGCCACAATTATTGTTCGCTTTACAAGCAATTATCAATTAGCGTCATTTGATCGTCGTTACTAGCTCTCTTTCCTCGAATCTGGAAGAGCTGAGGCCAGTAATAGACGGTCCTGCATTTATTAGATTTCTCGTGGCGGCTGTGGACTGATATCCGTGTCTCGTCTGGTAGGGTACTCGCCCGCATTTCATCTCGAACCTGAACAAAAAATGAGGAAAAAGGAAAGGAAAATGGTTTTAAATGTTGAATATTTCATAATAATAATAATATTCCGTTCTTGTACTGGGCATATCACATTTAACGTTCCTACGCGCTCCCAAAAAGCTTTTACAAGTATACTTCTAGCAAGTATACATTATCAATTACATTCTAGGACCTATATATGGAGTCACCTTTATATTTACATGTACATGTGTATAATCATGTAAAATAATTACTGTGTAACATAAAAAACTATTTCATCAAAGTGTTAAAATACTATCGTGTAATGGCATTCCGACATTTATGTAATTAGCACCGGCGACATTTTACTCCATGCTTTACATCATAAAGTTATTGGACTTTGCCTTCGGTTATAGAGTTTTAGGTTGGCTGTATAAAGGGATAGTGTTATGAATACTGTCAAATCTGGTGACCAGATTAAAAAAGTGTATATACCTGTTCTGCTCTCCGTAGAACCCTGAGGAGGTTGTTTCCCATGGCAGCTTTGACCTCTTCCTCCGTCCAGTCTCTGCGAATCAACTCGGCGATGAGATTAGGATACTTCGACACATCCTCCAGGCCCTCGGGCATGCTGCAGAAGATACAGTATAAATCCATTCATACTATCAACATTTTGTCGTTACTATTCCACTGAATACGATTGAAACTTATTGTACAGCTAGCGTGAATCCATGATTCTCTTCTTTAAAAAGTACAACGGTGACAAATTGCACAATCAAGAGGGGTTTTGTTTTTTATCTTGCTGTTTTCAAAGTGTGGGAGGGCGCGCGCGGGCCGGGTATGAAATCCTTGAATTGTACTGATTATTTAACAGGGTAGGCCTAAATACGGTGTATGATAATGAATGAACCGGTACATTACGAAAATGAACACTGTCGTACAAGAAACTATAATTATCTAGAAAAAAGGTAGCGTCAATAAGAATATTTGGATACACTTACGTTGGCACCCCGTCAAAGTCGCTTCCTATGCCCACACATTCCCAGCCGCACACCGATTTAATGTGATCCATGTGATCTGAAAAATAGCCATATTGTGAAAGGGATGGTTAGAAGAAAAAAAATCGAGAAGATAAGGAATTACAAGTCATCACATTTTTGAAATTGCCGACCAGCCTAAGAATATAGATCATGAATTCACCCCAAGTTCAAACAATTTTTGTTGAAAATCTTCTGGCAAGAATGAAACCTTGGTCAAGTCATTTCTTTGATGTGTGCGATTGTGGGTAGGGGAGTCACCCACATTAAGTGGTTAAACAACTTGAAATCCTCGCCCCAATATAATATTGATCATGAAGAAATGAATTAATTTTAGAGAGGCACAATAATGCTAGACCCCATGCCCCCCGCCCGCCCTCCTTTGGAACCGCGCCTGCCCCTATAGGCGCTTTTGGATCATTGGGTTATTCTGAATTTGATATAAAAGCTGAACAACAAATATACCTGCTACTTGAAAAACGGTTGCGTAGGTTAGATCATCAGATACGTTTCCTGGGGGACAGTTCACGTATGCTGTGTAGAAATTCACCATCACAACGCCTTTGTTTTTAACCTGATTCAAAGAGAGTGATGTTGAAATAAATCGTGTTCCAAGAAATGAAATTTAGATCTAAATAATTGTGAAGGGTTTATTTAGATGTGTAACTGTATTTCATTTAACCCAAAATGAAGAAGATTTTGCTTTTACCCCTTCTCTCTTTCTCTTTCTTTCTCTCTCCCTATCTCTCTTAGTAACAGGACTAAATGCATCACTTTTTCGTGGAACTTTTACCAAGTAATCAAGGTTTGATTCACAAAGTTATTCTGTTCTATAACAATACCTAAGCCAGTGAGGAAAACAAATACAAAATCCTTCGCCGCCAAGGTTCTTTGTATTTATTTACTATAATTAACATGTTAAAAATGAGGAAGAGAAAGTGCAATTGATTTGATATGGTGTGCACTCGAATTCAGGCGTTGGTTTTGCATAAAGGCGACGGATAAATAATCGAGGCATTTGCCTTACAAATTTCTGAATAAAATATTCTGCCGAATTACCATGCGTTTCAAGATGTAGTCCGGTACATTCCTGTCGTGGTTGCAAACAGCATAGGCTGACGAATGGCTGAAGATGATTGGAGCCGTGGTAATGTCAAGTACATCTGACATGGTCTTCTGAGATACATGAGCAAGGTCGACCAGCATACCTATACGGTTCATTTCCAAGATGACACGCTGACGAATGAAAATGCAAAAATAAAAGGCTAAAAGGACATACAGTTTGATATTCGAAAGAAGAAAAAAAGACTTCATTTTCTTTTGAAATGAGACATAAAAGTTATATTTCAACGCCTATGATTTTATCTCTTACATATCGGGGTAACGTTTGCTATTACCTTCTTCCTCTGCTTTTCCTGCTTCTTGTTCATCGTCGTAATCTTCATTCTTTTTGTCCTCTTTCCTCTTGTTTTAAATAATGTTTCTTCCTTTTCTTCGTGTTCGTCTTTTTCTTCATCTTCGCCCTCTTCCCCTTTGAAAGTAATAATAATAATAATAATATTATTGCTTATATAGCGCTTAATACGTCAGGAATGTCCGAGTTTCTAAGGGGTATATTCTTCGTTTATCACTTGATTTTTGTATAATCTTCGATTTATCGAATGCCCTCTTAATAATATATACTTTGTAATTTTTGCCATGAGTTTAAAGATAAACTCCAGTACTGGTAAAAAAAAAAAAAAAAAAATTCTCACAGAATAAAATGAAACTTACACTGAATGTTCAAGATTACAAATTAATGACATGTGCCAAACAATTTGGGAAGAAAATGTATACTGGCTGAGTAATGAGCATAGAAAGACAAGGAAATCAAGGTAGTACCAGCCCCGACATCATGTGTGTTGTCCCATATATAGCTTTCTATGTGAGTGCTTGTTACTTTACCAAGACTCGGTCAAATTTATTATGATTTTGATGACTCCAGAACCTTGCATTGCACACCAATACTTACATGCTACATGATCAACTGTTTCTGATCCTTTCCACACCTTTTCTTTCACAACGCAATCGCATTACCAGTACTAAAGTTTATCTTTAAGGCAACAAACAATATTTATTTGTCTAAATACACTTAAAAAAACACTTTTTGTAATGCTTACTTTCCCAAATGCAGAAAGACCATTGAATTCTGGATCGTCTTTCGCGGTTTCTAACCAGTTATCAGCCCTGTAAAATTAAAAGAGATGTTCAAATTAGTATCATTCTATCTATGTTTGCCGTTTATCATATCAAAACAATTCATCATAACAGTAATGAAAAGGGGGTATTGTTCCGGTGACTAGCGAAAATGCAGCTAAAATTATGAAATATACCGCACTGCTTGAATTTAACATTACTTTATAGACTTTAGAAACAATGTTATGTTAAGTCAATGATTGGTGCTTGTATTTTCGGTATTGAGATTTAATAGTGACGTCTACATGGCAAATGTGTATTGATCATGTCAATAATGTAATGAAACAATCTTATGGACTGAAATATGGATATAACTCCTTATGGTGATTAAAGATGATGATAATGACAATGATAATGATGATATAATAATAACTATACAAATAGTAAAAAATTATTAAATTCGATTATATATTCAATTTTTTCTCAATTAAAACTGTTAATGTATACACCCTCATATGTGATCCGTATCTATATCCTTCCGTTTTTATTATAAATATATCTTTTCATTTTGTAATACATGTAAACAAGACGAATCTAAAACGAATGAATAAATAATATATTCTAATTACCGATAAAACATGAACATTCTACGCAGTTAAGAAATTAAGCAAATGATTACATGAATATATATATATATATATATATGATATTACTTTTTATTTTGGAAGTTCGCATATAATCATATCTCCATTCCGACACCCAAATCCAAAGTCTTGCCCCATCAAATATGTACAATTATCTTTATCAACATTTTGTTGCACCATACCATGGGGTATTGCAGCTATGTGTAACCGTCATGTAGCGAACTCCAACCCGATAGAGCATGCGCAGTGTAGCTAAACTGTTATCGATGTTGTGTCCGCCTTCGACCCCGATGAGAGAGGCTATTTTCCCTTTTTTATGAGCCTCCAAGATACCTGTAATAAATCAAAGGCAGGACAATTTAAAGAAGAATAACAGAAAAAACAGAAGCTAAAACCAATACATTATATACCTAAAATACTATTACGGTTAAACACAAAATCTAACTAAAAGTGTTGTTTTAAAGGCCAGTAGTGAGGCAATCTATGCGCCATGACTGCCGTTTTGTAAAAACTTTCGTGGAAGAAATGATATTTCTTCCTACTTATCAATATCATACTCCTTAATACATATAACATTAAACATGCACATATGAATTTGTACGTACCATGTTTACCTATTTTTCCTCATGTTAGTAGACATAACGTCATATTTTTATTAAATAAATGAACTTTGCTCCGTAAGTTTTGTTATTGGTCGAACTTTATTCCACAATATAGACGTCTGTAAGACGCAAAGGATGACTAGAGGTCGCTAATAAAATATTCAAAGAGGCTTTTATTGAAATATGACAACACATTATTGAAGAAAGAAAAACTTTCTGTTTAATCAGTAGCAAAATACTAGTATTCTATCATGTTCCTTCTTTCAATTTTTTAATTTCGATTTCCAATCATAAATATCTTGATAATCAGACAGGCGATCGGCTTGTAAAAGTCATGGGGTTCCTGACTGACCTAAAGGTTTATAATCATCATTGCAGCATGAGCTTAATCCAGGATTTTGTTTCAGAATCTGAGACAAAGTTACCCAATCCCTTTAAAGCCGTCGGTCTTCTGGTTGCTTACATTCAAGCATACACGTGTTTTCTTAAATAGCCGTCAGGTACCGGTAAAACAAACAAACCAACCAATCCATCAACAACATTGCATATAAGAGAGTATTTGGTCATTAAATCTTTAAAATCAAGTATTGAATCTACATTCTTAGATAATCATACCATCAGCTGTTGTTACAAACTGGAAGACGTCTGGATACATATCACACATCCTTATGATGACGTCAATCTGGTCCAGCACGTGTGTCACAACGTCCATGTACTGAGATCCACAGGTGGTATAGGCCGCCCAGAACTAAAAGTCAGATAAAATCATGATGGGAAATACAAAGTCGTGCGAAAGGTATTTTTTCAACATTTTCATATGGCCGTGAGTGTAACTCAATTGTTTATGAATTATTTTAGGGTTTGTCTTATAATTTGCTGCAGAATGTAAAATGAATAAAGTCATACTTACCTGAAATTTTGAGATTTAAATATGTATTAACAAAATATTTTTTTTTAATGTATGTAAACAATTAAAAAAGCAACGAAAAGCTGTTGAAAATACATGTGTTCAAAATATTCTATTAGCGTTTAGACAATTAGTATATGTATATAATATTTATGCATGATGAATATTTTGAACTATATGAGAAATATTTAGTTGGATATATACCTGTCCTCCAAGTCTGCCTTCTTTGAGTCTCGGGATATCGGTAAAACTATGACCCCATATAGGGTTCAGATCCTGTGACAGATTCAAGTTCTGGAGCTGGTTTCCGATCCGACTAACGATCTGAAATGGCCAGTCATTGTGACTATACCAAAATAAAACAAGGAAAAAGACATGACCTAGGGTGAGAGAGCGGGAAGTAGACGGATGAAGAGGAAAAAGGAGAGTGAGGGATTTGGTGGTTTTTTAGTTGTTTTTTAATAGTTGTATCTTGCTTAAATTATACAACTGTTGTCAGCAATTTACACTTATAGATTTTGTATTGACATTTTCATGGATCTCTCTGAAGCCACTCTCCACCCAGGTCTAAATGGGTACCTGTTATGCTTGACCACTAGTTACTTTGGCAGCTCGGCTACGACCAGGGTAATATGTGTAAATCGCCATGAGCGTCAGAGCCTAACGGATACTGGCGCTATACAAATTACCATATTATTATTATTATTATTATAAATCCTAGTAAAACAAACTAAGTTACCTTCTTCCATATGCAGTTTGATTTAGCTAATTCACTTGATAATTTATTTCTCATAATCGAAAAATGTTTCATTAAATAAGGTAAACAGGGTTGATTTTCATGGTGTTCATATTGATTATAATTTGCATTGGGATACACATGTCAATTAGGTCACAATAAGCTCCACCCTAAAAAAAAGCTCCAGATCTCATTCATCTTTTGACATCATTTGTCAATCATTAGTGAGCTACAAGAGACAGTGGAATATAGCTTGACCATCAGAGCTGACCACCTGTTTACAATAGACCATACAATATAGGAGTTGCTATGTCTGACGTGATGTATTGTATGAAAGAATGTCATTTTTTTTCTCGACCGGTTTATTTTCGGGGGTCGCACGATCTGTGTGGGATGCGTGTAAAGGCGGAGGAGGACATATATGATTGAAGAATAACACAAATATAACACGGACAGAATCTGGACTAGGTGTAAGCTTGATGAGCTCCATTGTTAGTTTCTTGATGAATACACAGCTTCTATAGAAAAGGATCGTGGTTGAGTGAACTTGCCGCCGTACATGTTAAGGCCCGGTCACACAGCCCTCCACGGGCGTATCGCGGCCGAATCACGGCCCAAAATTTCTGCCCGTGAAGCAGACGCTGTTGGACGCTTTGAGGTCGCGATAAAGACGCGATACAGCCGTACTTTACCCGTCGTTACACGCGGTAAGAAATTCACACGCGGTTGGCCGCGCGAAAAAGTTTTGGGCTGCCCAAAAATTTAGACCGCGGGTAATCGCGGGCGGTACACGTGGTACACACGCGGTAAAGACGCGGTACAGACGCGAAACGAACGTGCTAGGACGTGCTACGGCCGCGGTTAAGACGTGGTTACACGCGGAATTGGACGCGAAATTTTAGTGGGTAGTCGCGGGTGGAGCACGGTCATAGCACGTTTGTTCCGCGTCTGTACCGCGTTGTTATCACGTGCATTAGCGTGTGTACCGCGTGTAAGCGTGGTAGGCCGCGGTACCGCCGCGCTTCACCCGCGATAAGGACGCGGAACAGTCGCCGGCGTCTGTTCCGCGGGCATACCACGGGTAAACCGCGGGTAAGCCAATTTTGCACATTTTCCACCACGGGCAACCGCGGGCAAAAAAAAAATCGCGAAATTTTACCCGCGATACAGACGCGAAAGGCTGTGTGACCGGGCCTTAACGCAAATCTTTTATCGGAAAGGCGGAAAGCCAGTACTCAAAGCCCAAAACAAACTCAATCCGCTACAAAACTTATCTGTAGGTGCTACACAGATCGACTTTAGATCGTAGACACAAACATAAAAGAAGTGATAATAGGCCATGTAACACAAATTTATACTGATACGAAATATTTCATTCACCTGTCAATAAAAATTAGTATTGGGTTTCAAATAGAATGCAAATTGCATATATTACGTGGTATTAGGTAGGGCAAGCCATAGTGTTGTCCTAACTAGCAGCAACTATTAAATGTATGCAATTTGAATTCTGGCTATTGAGATACATTTATTCGTAACAGGTAAATTAAATAACTCGTATCGAGGCGCTTCTCACAGGTATATGCATAAATCTGGTTACATTACGAAAATGCACAATAAGATACTAAAGATATGTAAAAACGAAGTGAGAGGGAAAACCCGTAAGGTGCACACTTCTCATTTAAAAGAAGAAGATACAGAATAAACATGCATGCATTTACTGCACCAATCGAAATGCTTTGTTATAGTACATTAGTTTTCTTAATCCATTATCATAACGGCAAGTACATAGTTCATGATCACAAAGACTAACAAAACAAAAAAACAACTACAATTATAAAAATAGTCGAAGGCAATCTTTACTTCTACTTCTATGCTAATACCCATCGAAAGACTTTTCTATTTCGCATTCGTCACTTAAAACTGTGAACATGGCAATGGCACAACTATTATTACATGATCCGAACAATGATTATTTCTGTAGGCTCCCCAATATGCTAGAGTTCCATATGTACCGCCACTAAAATTGAAGAAAAAAAAATATCGGTATGGTTCAGAGTGATATACCTAATAACAATATAATATATAAAACAATGGAAAGTAGGTTTAGGGTTAGGGTTAGGGTTAAGGTTAGACAATGAGATATGGAATGAAAGTGTAATAATATTTAGCGGGGTTATACATATCTCTTTCCGTGTAATATCTCGAAAGTCTTGGCGATTGTGATCAATAAACTTAGAAGTTTAAGTTCAAATTGTATGTTGTTGTTGTTGTTGTTGTTGTTGTTGTTGTTGTTGTTGTTTAATTTAGGCAAGTCAGTCAGTTTATGACCAATTTTTGCCGAATACTATGACAAATTTGTTTTGAATTCAAATTTACGTATATACACTCACATAATATGCGTGTATATATATATATATATATATATATATATATATATACATATATGTATATTTCTTCTTCTTCTTTAAAAAGCCAAAGCAAAAAAGGGGGAGATAATGATATCATGTTAGATTGCAGGCTTACCCATCTATAAGTGGCACCTCAGACATGTATTTCAGAGCTTTGTTCTTTGCAGTATTTACCGAGTCATGATCCCGCGGCCGAGGGAGAGACCTTGCCGTGTTGACCAGCAACATGAAGAGAAGAGCAATATGGGAAAGACCAGACGCCATTTTGCTGATTCACAACATGTAACGACAGCTATCAGTATTGTTGTGTTAATTCAAGATGCAATATGATACTTGACGTTTGGACTCTGTACCGACACTTTACAAGCAATCAATATGGGGTATATCCGGCGAAAAGATATCCTAGCGCAATTAGCTAGTATCATATTTCAGAAATGTCAATGACTATAATTATATACTCGCAAACCCGTGGAGTTGCTCGGCCTCAGGAGGCATTGTGTACTGGATAAGAAGTAGGACAAATACATTATATACGAGATCGCACTGACCGGTTTGGTATTACCTTTATAAAAGACAAGTCATCAGACCAAACAATGGTAAACAATTGAATAGAACTACTCGCTGTCTGTATGACGTAACACACCACCCCTCCATCGCCATACAGTCAAACCTGCTTTAGTGACCACCTGTCTACAAAGACCACCTGTTTACAAGGACCACAATTTTAGTTTCCCTTGAAAATGGCTTCTCATTGAAACATGTACTGAAGGAACCTGTCTACAAAGACCACCTGTCTGCAAAGACCACTTTTTGTGTTTCCCTTTGGCGGTCGCTATAGACAGGTTTGACTGTAGTTGAAAGAGACAGACGTAGAGTGAGAGAGAGAGAGAGAGAGAGAAAGAGAGAGAAGAGGGGGGGGGGGTGGTTGTCGTATTACCAAAGGCAGGCAAAGTGTATATACAAGGAGACACACCATAATACAACCACTTTTGACTGCTATGAAAATGAAATTTTCATGTGACGTAAAATTTAAGGGGAAAAAATACTTTGTATAGGATACCTTTAACGTGAAATACAACTGTACGTGACGAGGAAATTCACCTTTTCTCTTCCTTCTTTACAATCTCCCCTCTGTCTCTCTCACTCTCTCTCTCTCTCACACTAAACGTTGGTCTCTTTCAACCTCCTTCTCCCCTTTCCGTTCTGTCTCTTCTCCATTTCTCCTCTTGCTCTTCCTACTTTCTCACTCTTACTCTTTCTTTCCTTATTTTTTTTTTGTTTACCATATACTCCATCTTGACTTACAAAGTGTCTTCTAGTAAACCAGGAAACATGAGAAATGCGCATGATTCAATATACTTTTGATAGACCTACATAACATGCCTATTTGACATGCTACTTTATTAGACAAAATATTTAACATTCTAACCAAGTGAAACGTACAACATTATTTAAGATTATTCAAACAAACCGAAAATCGAGTCATACAACTATGAAAGTGTAACGTACTTTCGTATACAAAGTAACAGATGTCTTCGAATATAAGGTATCTAATTTCAGCCTTTGTCAATAAAATATGTAATCCTCTGTAGATTGTCTAAAACAGAAATATTTAAAGGTGTATTCTTATATTAATCGATTAATCAGATCAAAGCTATATGTTGCTAATGTTCAAAACTATATAAGTTATTTTCATAGTTTCATCGCCTCAACACGAAACAATGTGTTACATTGCATACAACATTTAAATGAAATGAAATTCATGCCCCGAAAATGAATCTTCCAACATATTTCTATGTCTGCTTTACTTTGTAAAATATACAATGTAAATACTCAATAGCAGTATTATTCTTCACCATGTTTTGTTGATGATGTTATTATTCACGATTAAAAAAGGAGAGTAATATCATAATTCTATTTACACATCCACCACACAAGATTGTAATATTTCGGATTATGTTTTACGGGCCACTTGTAAATGACATAATCGCATATATAGCTTCAAATCACGTATAGAGACATCGTAGATGCAACACGAGCTATATAGATGCAGTAGTTTTAATATAATCAATATTATCCTTATCCTAAGTTGCTACAACCGAAATTTCACGATAGCAGCACATTTTCAAGCGCTTGCTTAATCTCTGAATCCAACCCATGAAATTTCAGTCGAAACAGTTAGGTTGCATGGGACATGGCAGAATATTGTTCATATCATTTAAGCATAACCACTCTTAATTGCGGTAAGTATGTTAAAAGACCGGAACATTTGGTGCGTTTAACGGAGAAGATGGCCTCGGTTAATTTTTTTTTTTTTTTTGCGTTTCGAAAACTTTTAGGATAAATATTTGTTATGAAATTTAATAACGAAATATACAAATTTGTTAACAGTTGGTGAATTTCATGATTTCACTGTGGAGTAATGATACGATGAATCTTAGAGAACAGGGAGAAAAGTTTAGAAAAAAAAGTTTTTTGACTCTGTCATCGCATCCTACAGTATTCAAAATACCTCTCATGTATGTATTGTATTGTATTTATTAAACTTCATTGATGTACATCAATATTCTGTTTATAAACATATAAACACTTTACAATGTAATGTAACAAATCAATATTCTGTTTGGAAACATATATGTCATATAAGTCGATTTACAATGTAATGTAATATATCAATATTCTGTAAACATATATACCGTATAAATCAATTTAGACTCGCCTTATTCTCAAAGAAGATTTGTCAACAGTTAAAAAAAAAAAATCAAAACTCTACACAGGACAAATGTTTGCACATGTTCACCATTTGTGACATGTTAAAGTTGCAATGTAGCTTATCTACTCACTTCGTTTGTAAAAACGAATGGTCATTTTTTGTATGCACGCTATGATTACATGACTTTTTGTAAAGTTTATGATTAAGACCACAATCTGACATTTTTATTTTCGTAACGACGGCATGGATATAATGAAAATAAAAATGAAAATACTTTCCTAGAGCTGGAAAATTATATCTAGAAAACACACAAATGCTTCAAAAAGCAACGCGGAGAACTTTTGTAGTATAGTGTTTATGGTGTTGTTTTGGCATTATGAAATCAACTGAACAAATAAAAATTGTGATATTACGTAATTTTGTGCAAAAATATTCCACTATGATTCAGTAAAGCTTCATTGGTTGTGATAATCATAACATTTAGTTTAAGCTTCTACCAACCTTAAAGTATTTGTGATATTCTATTATGCATTACGAACTAACAAGAACAAACCAAAAGGAAAAGTGACATTCAATAAGACCACACAAATGTCCACTCATGTAAAAAAGGGAAAATTCAAAGAGGCAACAAATGATTCTCAATCCCTGAATATATATTCAAAATCCAAACTTAAAAAGTACCTTCTACACAATCTTTGATACCTCCGGCAATTCCAATACCTAACTGAATTATTATTATCATTTATTGATTTGTTTTGTTTTCTCTTCTTTTTCAATATAAATTGTACATTTATTAATACATACATGTTATCATGTTATATTATGTTACAACTTCATCACTTTTATTAAAATCTCCCACATTGAAATCAACTTGTTTGTAGTCATTCTGCTATTTCTATATTTCTAATCCTTCTGTATTTTGATTTCGTTCTTGTTGATTTGTTTCTCTCCTAATATTCATTATGTCATTAATGTGTTGAATAATTACTATGTATATCGTGTAAAATGTTTATTGAAATGTGGAAATAAATAAATCCAAAGTCAATTCGATTCGATAGATTTGTATTGAAGAAACATGCATAAAACGTTAACATACGGTGGCTAAGGAAAGTTTTTCTGATATGGTTGTGTATTTGAATTGAATTGAGTGTGATTGTATGAAAAGAGGGTAATTAAAAATGTCTTATTCATTTAACTGTTCACATAATGAGGAAAATTTACATAAATCACCGGGTTTGAAAATCAGAGGAATAGTAGCGAATTTCAAACAATCCTAAAATACAAAATAAACCTCTCTAATACCAACATATAATTATATTCCCAAGTAAGATTGCACCTTTGCCACTTTTTCTCTTCTGGGGAAGTTTTTCTTTCTACACCAATCTTTGAAGCGTTCCCCTGCCTTGGCGGCTTGCTCGGGTTTTCTGCAGTAGAGACGAACGTAGCGCTCCTGGAATTTCTTGGGAATGACCCAAGATACCTGCAAAAAATATTTTAAAGATCACTTTAAAGGCCCACTGCACTACTTGTAGCTACTTGCGCCCTCTATATAACAAACAATGCCTAATCGGTGACCATTGGTCCCCAATGATCCTCTTTTTCTTATGTTAACTGAGAGCTGAGTTGATGAGATAACCTCCTGTCCAGTGACCTTGCAGGGCGATCTAATCCCTCCTGTAAACTATGGCAGATAAGCTTTAAAACAACCTAACTTTCACAATCATCTAAGTTAAGCGAAATCGAGACATATCTATTGAAACTTATAATATTTATAGGCAAACGGAAGTATGAATATACGTAGTGATAGTTCAAAAAGGAGGGCTATCATAATTAAAAATGTATACAAGATCGTTACAAAAGGGTCATAATGATGGAGAGATGTAGGAGATATTTGAAATTCTTGGATCACTAAATAATTGAATTATGCAAAATATATTGATTTTCCCCACGACATATCTTCAGCGTTACTAAACACAATATATACATGAACCTTAATGTATCAAGAGCTCAAAAGACACTCCTGACAGGGGTAATAGTTATCTGTAATTCTGTAAAGCGCTTAGAGACAGTTGTATTAAGCGCTATATAAAAGCGGAATAGTATTATTCATTATTATGAAAAACAGAACCAATGAATAAATGGCTCTGAATATTTTCATGTTAAAACGGAAAATAATAAACTTGTAAAAATGTGATGTGCTTATTAATATTTGTTTACGAAATGGAAAAGATTAAGTTTTTTATCCATCTACTTTGTGTTCTTTATACAAAGTAGTATCTTCCATAAAATCTCTACAACAGACACAACCGGAAAGGGATATTTATCGACAAAGTTGAAATTAAGACAGGGTTCATTTGCGTAATTATCAAGCGTTAGCTCTCCCTCTTTAAATTTATTTAACTCAATAAAATACATTTGTATTTTTTGATTCATTTTGTACTGGCCATCCGTATTCCAGTCGGCCCGTGTTGTGTTGTGTGTGTTATAGGTAAGAGCCCTGCCCTCTCTCGTTCCTTGTCTCCCTTCTTTCCCTGGCCCTTTCACTCCTTCTATGTTATGTCTATTTGGTTTATGTATGTGTGCGTTCCTTTATTATTGATATACTATAAGTTATAGGGGGCTGCAATCTACAAGCCCAGCTTTTCAGCAGTCCCCTCCATGACCAACATGTTTTATATGCCTGTTGTACACTGTGGACCAATTACAAATATATTGTTAAGTTTTATTGTTTTACTATGTACAATGCAATCCCATGTACTTTATTTATTTTGTTGGAAATGGAAATAAACGAAATGAAATGAAATGATTGAATGAAGTATTAAATCACCTCATCTTCTCCGAGGACCAATGCATCATCTGGGCTATCCTTGGAGTAGAACCGGATAGAGTCCATCGGGTTCTTGTCTTTCTGTCCATAGTTGATGATCACCACCTTGTAAGGAAAAATTAAAATCAAATTAAATCAAATTATATGAAATTGAAATAAAAAAATATATTGAATCTCTTTCAAATATTATAAGAAATATATTAATGTGCTTTCAAATGAATGAATGAATGAATGAATTATTGATTGAATGAATGAATGAGTAGATAGCTGAATGAATGAATGAATGAATTATTGATTGAATGAATGAATGATCAGATAGCTAAATGAATGAATGAATTATTGATTGAATGAATGAATGAATTATTGATTGAATGAATGATTGAGTAGATAGCTGAATGAATGAATGGGTTATTGATTGAATGAATGAATGAGTAGATAGCTGAATGAATGAATGAATTATTGATTGAATGAATGAATGAGTAGATAGCTGAATGAATGAATGGATTTTTGATTGAATAAATGAATGCGTAGATAGCTGAATGAATGAATGGATTATTGATTGAATACATGAATGAGTAGATGGCTGAATGAATGAATGAATTATTGATTGAATGAATGAATGAATGAATAAGTAGATAGCTGAATCGAAATAAATTAATGAATGATTGAATGAGAGAATGAATGAATGAAATAGATAATTAGTAATACAAAATCGAGGGATAGCTTGAAACAAAACTGAATCCCTTAACAGGGATTTTAACAAAAGTATACTTATAAGTCTTTGAGCAAGTTGAAAATTGAACTTTAATTCCTAATCGTTCATCATTCGCAAGGTTACAAACACTGCAAATTTCGAATAGGCGAGACAAAAATATATATGTATCATTTATCTCACAGCAAATTCGTTCTTATAATACGTCTTTCAACCGCGTCAATAAACTGTGTATATTTAACTAAATATGCATTAATACCCTCGTTACTATGCACGGTCATATGTTAATATACATACAATAGCAACTTTCATGAAACTCACTCTAACTGCCAGATCTTCAGCGGGAAGTCCCAGATCCGCCTTGGAGATCTTTTCAGCGATTTCATCCGGACTCTAATTTTTTTTTTTAAAGGATGAAAAAAAAAGAGACTTTTCCAATGACATCAAGACCCATATGTTCCAAAGAAGGCGTATGTTACAGGTTTAAACAGAGAAAAGTTTCTAGTACTTTTCGAGAACAAAACGATAGCCAGGGTCATTTTTTTTCTCCCTTAACGTTGAAGATGTTATACACGAACAAACCTTTTTTTCTCCATATATTGCTCAAATTCACCACCGCGGCAACCACCGCCACAACAAAAACTAAAACAACAACATCAAAAGATGTAATCAAAACACAAATATTAGATCAAGATGTATCATAAGTAGTTTGAATACTCTTGAACAATTGTATGCAGCTTGAGAGCCCTTGCTGTTCGATTTTGTCGATTATATTTTCGGGAGAGGGTTAATATATAAAGTAAATCAATAAATCCTTAAGCAAAAATGTGGTTCTTCTCCAAATTGTAACGGGTTTTTTATGAAAAGTGAAAGTCGCTTCCTTTACCCGGAGTTTGGCGAGTGGCGGTATGAGGACATCACCGGCGCTCGTGTAGACATCCCTCGCCTTGGCCCTCTTCACAATCTCCTTAGCTACACGTACGTTGAGCTCCACCTCACCCGAAGACAGGACCTGGTCTATGGCGGTATCAGTCATGTATGTGAATGCGTGCATGTCCTGCTGTTCCAGGGTCTGCGTCATGGTCAGCATGGTCCTGATAGAAACATTTGATGTATGTTGTTTTTAATACCTTTATTCAATAACTGGATCTTTTTTTATTTTTCCAAATTGGATTTCAAGACTTCCATCCATGACCAACTCGAGAAAAGTAACTGGCTTATGACACTATCAGTCTTGAATGGGCTTACTTCGAATCATCGGATCATCGAGTCGGCTCGGTTGGTTGCGTTACACGACCTTTCGTTGAACAAACAAACAACCTAACTTTAGACCACTACATCGCGTCCCATATATTAAAGACAATTGTTTCGCCTAAAAAGACAATGTTTTAAGACTTTTTGATATTGGATCCTGGAAAATGTCTAATTGTTTATTTTTAAAAAAAATCACATACTGCTTGTAAGTGTCGGCTTGCATGGTGATGTAGATATACAGTAGGCTTGTGGGTGCACCATGTGAGAGAGAGGGAGGATTGAGAAGTTCTGAAAAGGACTCTCGGTAATCTTTCTTGAGGGTTTGTTAGTCCTGAAAAGGACTGTTGGTATAGTCTTGAAAAAGACTGTTGGTTATCTTTCTTAGCTAATAGTTCTAAGGAGAACTATAGCGCTTGGAGAGGATGACTGACGGGAGTGGCTCGACGTTTCGAACAGGTTGACTATCCGTCGTCAGCTATTCTCCACTCCTGACGACGGATAGTCAACCTGTTCGAAACATCGAGCCACTCCCGTCACTTATTCTCTCCACGCGCTATAGTTCTCCTTATAACTATTAGCTTAGAAAGATAACCAACAGTCTTTTTCAAGACTATACCAACAGTCCTTTTCAGGACTAACAAACCCTCAAGAAAAATTACCGAGAGTCATTTTCAGGACTCCTCAATCCTCCCTCTCTCTCACATGGTGCACCCGCAAGCCTACTGTATAAAAATTTACATAGTTATCCAATTACCCATCTTTTCCAGGAAAGATCATCACATGCTCATCGGCTTTCATCAAGGCTTCCATGACCCTAGAAAAATACAAAGGGAAAGAGAGAGAGGGAGGGGAGAAAGAAAGATAGAGAGAGAGACAGAGAGAGAGAGAGAAAGGGAGGGAGAGAGAGAAAAAAAGAGAACGAGAGAGAGAGAGAGAGAGAGAGGGAGAGATAGAGAGAGGGAGGGAGGGGGAAGGGGAGTATAAAGGGAGAGCGACAGAAAGGAAAAGAGCGAGAGACAGGTGAAGATGAACGAATAAAAAGAAAAAGACAGTGATGGTGAAAAACAGAAAACATTGAGTAACATGTGTCATTCATCCCACAGGCATACATAGAGGTGAAGCGTGGAAACAGCTGGGAGGGCACTAATTTTTGTGCAATGGGAAATGACTTGAAATGCAAGTGAACAAGGCAATCGAGTGAAGGGCGGGTACACTCAATTTGGTCTTATCTTCTTTTCACATTGCCTTCTCCTCTTCATTTTCACTCCATCCCCCTCTATATTTAGCATTTTCTTTGATTTTTGCCAAGAATCGGGGGCGTGGTGGGTCCAGTGGGTTACTGTTTCTGTCAACAAAAACAGTTGCATGCAAGTGTTTTAGTGATGCATAGATTTCATTGCTCTTTATATACAGTTTTGATACTTGTTCGTCCCTTAGACTCTACAGGACTACAATATAAAAATAGTTAGAAATGTATATGTAGGCCACCCCTTCTTACTTTACTTTGTTCATTATCAAGTAAAATCCACTTACATGTGTTCCATGACACTGGTTACTTTGTGCTTCAAAGCTTTCCTCTGTAGCGTGTGTTGACCGCGGAACATCTCATACAAGTTTTCTGCTTCCTGTAATAAAAAAACAAGTAAATATCGACGAACCTTAAAGGGATAGTTGAGTTCTGTTGCAGAGGGCGCTACACAAAATAATTTTTTGTGAGATAATGAAAAAATTAATGTCAAATTTGAAAGAAGATTATATTTAAATGACAAAATCATCTTTGTTTGATCAAAATCGGTTCAGAGACAGCGGAAATATAACGATTTCTAATACTTGTGTACCACCACAAATGTTAGATATTTTGAAAAATTTGAAAAAACCTTTGAAAAAAAAACTAAATAACGCCTTTTACTACGTATTTCAGCCAATGCCGATGTTGGTTTTTTGTTGGCATTTTTGTGTTGCTTTTATTACGCATAACCAGCAGGCCCATGTATTGTTATTTTTAATTAAATACTTAATTAACAGTCACCATGTTTTTTTTTTAAGTGGAGCTGAATGGGTATGCTCGTATTGGCTAAACTTCACACATTCTGGGGTCTAAAATTACCTTCATAGCAATTTTAGGTTCTAAAAGGGCACTAGAAATGTCATAGATAAGAATAAGACCAACAACCATGCATTTTGAAGGCATTTGCGGTCTGAAAACAGAACTCAACTATCCCTTTAAGCTGAGAGAGAATTTCATATTATCAATTATTAAAATATAGTTTGACTGGATGTAATGTGATGTAGACTATTAATATAATTATTCTCGAAAGATACTTTTTTTGCATCTTCTCGAGGACGGGACTATTTTGTGAGGATAGTGTCTGAGATACCGAGGATTCGGAGTGAATTCGGTCTTCTTAGCGTTTTTACATTAGGACAAGAAGCATCCATTAATCGTAGGCAGACAGGTAAATTAAGTTCTAAATTCATTTACTACTTCAGATAACTCATTATGTCTGTTTGTATTTAGAAGATTCTATGATATTGTTTATATCTTGACGTGGAAATAAATTAATGAAAAATGAAAAAAACAAACTTGTAAGACCCATCTGCTAAAGTTCATAAAATTTCAAACTGTACATTCTTCATACTCTCTACCTTATTCTTGAAGCAGATCTGCAGTTCCTCTGGAATAGTCACCCGCCCTCCTTTGTCGTCCTCGACTTTGTGCTCGGGTACGAGGATCACTCGGGCAAACTTCATGCACCTCCTGTGATCGAAGTTGTTGGCGATCCCAAGATGATGACAGTCACGGGCCAGGGAGTCCCACTTGTCGACGTCGATTCCGTTTCGCTTGTTGACCACCACCTCGAAGAGGAAGCGTTTTCTCGGCTGTAATAATGTTAAATAAAATTGGGTTACATGAATAATTTGTAACTGGTTTCCTCCATTGGAAAATCATTTCAAAGTGTTTATGAAGGTATCGATTTATATGAAGGTATTAAGTTGTATGTGATTTGAGAGTGAAAAATTAGTCTAAATTCCTTTGTTTTTTAAATGTTGAAATTGATATTATACCAGCGTGAACTGATGACAAGATAAACAGGACACAGTTTATTAATTATGTTTCTATCACATGTAAAGAGTACATGTTATGTCTGTAAGTGAAAACTGACTTTGTCAAAGTTTATTAATTCGTTTTTCTATTACATGTAAATAATGCATCTTATGTCTGTAAGTAAAACCTGACTTTGTCAATCAACGGTTATGTCTTCGAGAATCCGGAAGAATATGGGGTTCCTAGCTTTGCTCGATTTCAAATCTCTTGTTACATTTTTGTAATCGAATCACCTTCATTCATTTTGTGCGAAACGAACACTTTTTAAAATGCGATTCCTCGGTTCTACAGGACCAATCAGCTCTTACATATTTCTAGAAAGGGCTTTTATACATCTGATTTTCCACTCTAGTAAAACTAAATTTTTTAATATTTTCCTCAGCGATTGGCTTAACATGGTGGAAGCGTCAATTAATAATATTATAACAATCCGTTCTTGTATTGCGCATAAGAAATTATGGTTAAACGTACCTATGCGCTTCCAAAGAGCTTTGGATATTATTACCCTAGATTTAGCTACGGCAGCCGTTATCAGCGCACAGTGTAAAGAATAATCCTACAACGTACAAATTTACCTCACCTGGGTGGAGTGTGGAAAATTTAGATTAACGTCTTGCCATAGTGTTGTGGCAGGGATTCGAACCCCATACCTTGTGGTTCACAGTGGGGAGACTGTCCCACAACACCTCTACATAAGGTGGTCAGGCTATTCGATTGAAGGAAATATCTTTCATTATTATCTATAAGGCTTCCAAGTGGTACAATAAATCAGTGTATTCAATATCTTTAGCGCTACCCGGATGACTGACCAATATTGTTTTTCGTATTGCTCGGTCATCCAGGAAACTCAACTATCTATATCACAAAAAAGGAAAAGAAAAAAAAAGAAGAAGCCATATTTACCGAGGTAAGAATTGTTTTTATTTCGCTAGTCAGCCTGATATAGATGATAATAATAATATTATATGGCTTTGTTTTCGTGTGATACAAGAATATATTGCTCTCGCTATGACAAAATTGGACTCGTCTCCGACTCTTTCAATATCTACTATTATTTAATCATTTTCAGACGGTTCTCATCCTGATCATGATACTTACATCATTACACTCATCAACGTTTCCTTCCATCATGCTCTTGATAGTCAGGATATCATTCTCCTGTATATCATGCTGTTTAAACGTGTCCATCAGATCGTTCTCCTCGATCAGGTGGTCAAACATCATCAATGTCAGGTCACCGTGCTACCAATTCAAAGATAGAAATGCAGAGGTTGAGAAAGAGAGAGAGGGAGGGAGAGAAGGAAAGAGAGAGAGAGAGCTACACTGTTAAAGGTTGATGAAAAAACTGTATAATTTGTGTATGAAATGTTAATTTTTATATTCCTTCTACTCTACTAACCCTCTAAAAGGCAAAAAAAATCCATTAACAATTCTCAAACCAGAAAGATATTTATGATTTTCCTTGAAGGCGTCACTGTGCGACACTCTCTAACAGTAAATTCTCCCAACTATTTTTGAATTTTCCCAACCGTTTTTCCATGAAAATAAGACATGAGGCAGGCTTTAAAACAAATTTCGACATATAAATGTCTGGAATGGTATATAGAGCCAATTCTTTGCTTTGTAACGATTACCAATCACCTAAAATGTAATTAAAATGTAATAATATAGTTGGGAGAATTATAGAATCTATCAGATCAGTTTTTCTCAATTTGTTATCATTAATAGTCGTCTGTTTTCACTCAAACTTTCAGTGTATCTTTAATTGTACATCTAGCAATAAAGTCACTACCTTAAAACCATTTTCTCTAATCTGAAGAGTTTTACCAAGTCCCTTTAAGGACTTAAAGAGAAACGTCCTACATAAATTATTCTGTATAAAATGACTAACGGACCTCCGTATGGATACAGGGAATGAAATGAAAAAGATTTCGTCATATTTCAACTTCCTCGATTTGTTTTCTCGTTTGTGCATAGTCAGTGATAGTTGTTCAAGTTTTGCAATGCATAATATTTTTTTGCACTTTCATGGTGACAGGTAATGAAAAATTACTAACCTTCAGCGGTTCGCCTTTCTTGTTCTTGATTCCAAGTCTAGGAAGCAAGTCATTCTCAAAGACGTGAGAAAATGGTCCACGTCCTGGCAAAGAATAGTTTGATAAATATCTTTATTGATTCCTGACTAGGTATATTATTAAATAGGAAGGAAACGGTTGACATATTCAATATTATGTAATTAATTACAATGGCTCATTGTTATTATTGCCTGAAATAAATTTCCGATATTCAAATAGGCCTAATCAGGGTAAATTTGGCCGGAATAATGACATTAAAATAAATTCACTAATACAATTTAACAGTTCATATATATATAGGTAAGTTTGGTCATCTTCATTTGAATTACATATCCATTAAACCTCTATATATTGGCAATAAAATAATAATTGAGGGTAAAATTTCTGCCTTCCACTCAACAGCCAAATAAGTCAAATAAGAACAGGCCTATCTTTCTTTCTTTGAACATTGTGAACATACATATAGTATATAGTAATTTTTTTACCTCCAAATTTAGAATACCTTTGTATGTATGGTATATTATATGATAATTATATGAATATATGTAAATCGGACGTGTAGCAGTGTAATAAATATAAGGTATAATCATAAAAATGAAACATGGTATATGCGATAAGTAAAACATAATAATTCAATTCAATGATAACTTTTTGGTCACAGTCAAGCTTTCCAATTATCTGCAAGACCAAATCCCAAAGTTACGTGATAAGGAAGGCGTACGAAATCAGAGGTTCACTGGACTACGGAATTTGATCCCCTAAGCCTTCGGCCTCGTGACAGTGAATTCGGTCTCATGGACCTTCCGTTAACCCATCTTTCTTACCCAGGTCATGGCACAAACCAGCGATCTGTACACAAAGGATGTCTTTGTCTTTGATACCGAGCTCCGGTTGATTCCTCTGTAGGGGGAGCAGGAACTCACCCGCAAGATGGCACACTCTGTAGAGAAATTGAAACCACGGGCCTTTATTTATTTTGCCAATTCAATTTGAAAACACATTCAAGTTCGAAAAGATCGATTTTTTAAAACTAAAAACGATATAAAATAAACTAAATTTTGATTGATTGATTGATATTTGTTATTCGCCAAGACTCAACATACAACAATATAAAAGAATAACAGATCAAAATTTAGCTTGAACAGGATAACCCATGAAAGCTCGAAAGCTTATAATGTTGACTCTTTCTAGAATGTTAGTTAGAACATGGCGAATGTAAATTTGACGTGATAATGATGTATCAATGCTAAACACATTTCTTATTCCCCTTGCCTCTTGATAAAATAAATACACACGTTTCATAATAGCCTTCTGAAGACTGAAAGTTATAACGAACATCTTATTCTGACCTATACGCCATGCAGTGAGTATGCTAATCGGCTGCGGGTTGCGCCAGAAGGGAAAATATAGTTCCATTCGCGTTCTTAAACACTCCAATTTTTCAAGAACATTTTTACTTAGATTACTTTTTCCATTTGATCTGCTTGTTTCACTATTGAGCTGTTGGTTGCTCTAATGAAAACAGAAAAAGCTTTCACCGATTAGTTTAATCTTCGGGTTTCCAAGAACGGCACCAGACTATCCTTTGATAACAAAATGGGTTTGACTCATAATAAGTGTAATAATCGGGTATGGGTTACTCCAGAGAAATATAAAACTACCTACCATCGAATATATACCGTTATGAAACCCCCCACTTTTTTTTAGGAACATGAGCCTATTTATTTTGAATATATTCATATCAAGAAAATGTTTTCTTTAAAATGTTGACATACCCTAGTGAGTGCGCTAATCGGGTGTGTGTTGCTCCAGGAAACACAGAGAAGCTGCAGCCGAGCTGCTTGATGTCCTGAAGTCTTTGGAACTGCGGTGTATCAATTATCTTGAGCAGCACGTCGCTTTTGAACTCCATGGGGCCGTGGACAGGGTCCTCAATAATCTGAAGTAGAGAGAGTGCACATATAAACTTCTTTAATAAAAAGTACCAATGTTATTATCCCATTTTCACAGGAAGCGTAATCGTGCTGACACAGGGCAGCGTCAGCGACTGACGCGGTCTTTGATGCAGCGTATGAAAGTCATATATATAATATCGTAAACAGAATGAGTACACAATGAACAGTACACACATACAATTGGTTCTGGTCTTGTGGCCGTTGCACACGAGGCTTCATTTTTTTTTTTTTTTTTTTTTTTTTTTTTTTTTACTTCGGACTGCGTCAGCGACTGACGCGGTCGTTGACGCAGTCATATTAGAGTAGGAGTGGTATCGTACATAAATTCAATCCAAAATGAACAGTGCAATTATTTAATAGTATGCAACAGAGGATGACACTGTAATTTTTTTAATTTGTTGCTGTCAATATTTCGAAACTGGAAAATGGAAAATATTTATTCTGTCAAGAGACGCATGCACCCCCGGTGATATCGTGAAATTAGGCCTACAGATACAAAGAAAACAAACGACCACCCTCCCCCCCCCCCCCCAAAAAAAAAAAGTTAACAAAAAGACGCAAAGCAAGCAAACAACAACAACCAATAAAACAAAATCTAAATACTTTTCCAAAGGTAATATTGCCTGACAGTAATTCAATATGGATTTGTATGTCAATTATTCGTATCTTAAAATTCTCTCCCCTTTCCTTTTCTTCTCTGCAAGCCACTCTTTAAAAAAAATTGTATTTGTATTGTTGTTTCTAAGTTGAGGGCTGCGGGCACGTCAAGCTACTTTGCTTATTTCTGTAGCCCTCCTGCATCTAATTTATATTAATTATGCATTCAATATATGTGTTTAAATTCAATATATTTGTTTAATATCGTTTATTATCTGTATACAATTATAATCACTTGAAATATTGTATCAAGCCATATTATGTTCATGAAAATGTATGATGAAAAAAAGAAAAAAGATGCAGAAACCAATAAATCAAATCAAATCAAATTAAAAAAAAATCAAGTCGAAGATTTGTAAATTCATGTTGATACCATCTGTTTGATGTTATTAAAACAGTTCTTACCCCTGTCATCTCTTTCTTGCTGCTCTTGCTCGTAGATTGCTTGGAATCCTCCATTGTTTGATCCCTTCGGCGAAGCTGTAAAATAATAAAAATGAAAGTTACCTGTATAGCGCATATCACTAACACAAAGAAAGTCCCTTTGCGCTTAGGAAAGAACGAAATAGAAAGAACGAAATATAGTTAGGGCAGAAAAGAAATTATAATTTATGCCTGATACATGAAAATAAATTACAAACAACAATATGATAATTTCTATGGGTCACCAGTTTCAAATAAGTTTTTGTCACTTTTTTTTTCGTAGCAAATTAATGTTTAAAGCTAAAGGCCAGTTATGGTCATGCGATTGCATTGTGAGAGAAACATTGTGAAATCGATCAGAAAAGGTTGATCATCTAGCATAAATGTACTGCAAGGTTCTGGAATCATAAAAATGATAAGAAATTTGGCCAAGTCTTCATAAAGTTAGAATCACTGTACACAGAAAGATGTATATGGGACTACACACACGTGCGCGACACGTGCATTTGTATCTCTCAACAGGCGAGAGATACACTAATTTACAAAAATATATCAATTAGTAGACGGTTTCCCGTCAACATTTTTATCATCATGTATTATTCAAAACATATTCTTTCACATGATTGGTAATAAGAGCTCCCATTTCATTTTTTGAAATTGGGGCGTTATCAATACTGGTCTTTACCTTTAAGTTAATTTCGATAAATTATAGCCTGTTTAAAATTTAAACTGTGTAAACAGAAAGTAAGACAAAAGGTTCAAATCATTCAGATTGCATCCCATAGGAGTGACACAATGGGAAAGGCTGTTATGGAGTAAAAGTCGGCGCCTGTAAGTTAAAGGCTCTAAAGTGTGATTTATGATTTATAACTTATTTGAAAATCATGAGAGCGATCAACTCAATCGCGTTTGATATGGTACAAAAAACATTGTACATCGATAAAATAACATTTCATTTGAAGAAACATACATGATTATTAATTACCACAACATTCATAATATGTAGTGCATGGTTATATACATGAAACAATTATTGTAAAAATCTGCGCTACCTATCATTACAATTATCAGCATAGTCCATAAATATGAAGAAATCATATCATTAATCTCATATTTTTGTTAAATTACACCGGCACTCTTCTCATCCGTTCATAGTTAACGATGACAACCGGTGTTTCTTAAAATATTGCTTTTGCGACTAATATGACAAAGTAAATTCCGCAAAATATAAATTGTAATCTTTTATCACCTGGGAGATGTACTGTGCTCAGAGGACGCCTGTAGATTCGTCACTGAGCTAAATGAAATTTTCACAAGGCGTTGTAGCATGCACAGCTTTGTCGATGTTGACGGTTCTATCACTTTGCTGCCTATGATTCGAGAGTAAAAATTATATCACTCTTCTGTATATTATGAAACAAAAATAGCCTTCTTACGTTATCTTCATGATATGAGGAAATAATCATGTGCGTTGGTTATTTCATATAACTAGAACGGAAAATCATTCTCTCAAATATTTTGATGCTTTTACTATGTTTATGCTTGATCCTATACAAACATAGCTACTCCAGAAAAATATTCAAATTAGACACGGTTGCTTGATCAAGTAATCACATAATTTTCAATGATTATGTTAATCTATCTCCGGATATTTCGATCGTAACCATGGTTACTCATTCATGCCATCGGAATGTGCATTCCATTGACCTGAGTACAGTTTGAGTAACTAGTCCATTTGCTGTTAGCCTAGTTCAGTATAATTAACCTGATTCTAATTTGTTTGAATGGCACGATTCAGTACACTAATCTCATGTATGATGTTGTTGAGCAGCCGTTTCAGTTCCGTTTTTTTTTCCCTTCAGCTAGAATTATTGTACATGTACATTCAGTTATATCGTATTGTCTTTAGATGCCATATCTTTATCTTGTAAATTCCATTTATTTTGAACTTAAGTCGAAGTCAGGTCTTGACCTTTGCGATGTGTAGATAGTAATACTATCTACACATGTGAAAGTGCGTTGCACTGTGCAGATAGTAGTAGTATCTCTCTCTCTCTCTCTCTATCATCTCAATCTCCCTATCTCCTTGTGTACCCTATTCCCCTCTTCTATATGCCTCTTTCTCTATATTCTTCTCTTTGCTGATTTTACTCACACTCTTGCATCTCTCTGTCTCTCCCTCTGATTTTGTATTTTACTTTTTTACTATACTCTATTCGTTCTACACTTCACAACGAATGCATTGTACAACATTATATGGATTTGCTAGTTTACCTCTTTATTCTCCCCAACAGATCTTATATACAACAGCCTATTCTTGCCCCTAGGACATTGATGTTGTTGGTGAGCTGGGTGACGGGGGAAGTCTATGAAACTCAAGTCACTCCACGATGCAGACTGATCGCCACCCTCCCTTTGGACGACAAACACCAACGCTCTGGATAGCCGATGAAGAGAAATCGATCTCGCAGAAGAGGGCGAATTTTCAGGAGGGAGTAATTGTCCTCGGGAGGGGGGGGGGGGGGGGGGTACTCCTTGGGGGTAATTCTCCGGGGGTAATAATGTCCACGGGGCCGGTTGTACTTGTCGGGGGTAATTTTTTGGAGGTAATTGTTCTAGGGGGTAATTGTCCGGTCGTTACTGTCCTCTTTATACTTTTTTGAATAAAAGAAATAAATTATTTAGGGTTTTATTTCCTAAATACCAGAAGTAGTAAATATTATCAAAATCATGCAATTTACAACATACTGACTTTAGAGAATATTCAAAATACGACAGAATAATTCTCAATTGCTAAACAAAACAATTCTTTCATACATTTCCTTATTCGTTTAAAACATGGTATGACGTCAATGCTGATCTGGCTGCTTCTCGAGCCTGATTGTCACACCTTTACGTTATCACTAATGACAAGACGGGACCTCAATCAGGAGGAATTTCCATTTTCAGATTATCATATCTAATCTTAATCTAAGATTTCTACGATGATCGTAATTAGGATAATCCTAATTATTTTTTATTTTGTATTGAAGAACCATTTTTTCTGAACGGTGACACTTATCTTTGATGCATCATTGTAATCTGAGGCGGGGTGGCTTGATTTTCTATCTGCCGTTGTCCGTCCCGGCTAAGACTGCCCCAAAATACTTTATAGTATGTGCCACCATTAGTGCCACCGTTTGAATTAGAATTTAAGAGGAATTTAAGAAGAATAGAGGATTTTCTAAAAGGTATGAGGCCTGACCAAAATTCCCGGAAGAAAATTGCGCCAATGACAAGGATTTCGGGAATTTTGCCGGCCTGTTTAATTAAGGCATTAACAGTGTGGAGGAGAGGTCGGAGAGAGAGAGATATAGAGAGGTCGGAGAGAGAGAGAGAGAGAGAACTCATGCCAGATCCCGACATTTTTTTCTTCTTTTGCTGCTCAATAATTCATGACGAGAATCCCGTAGGCTCTCGTATATGTTTCAAACTGGGGGCCACTTTTTTCTGTATGGCAGAAGCGATATCAAATGATCGTGAATTAACATTAACTAGATTTTACAAAAATCTTTAATAAGCTGCCACAACAAGGTAACATTTAGATTATAAAATCATATCATAAAATCATAACAACACAACAGTAACAACAGTATGAATTCATAACAAAAATAATGATTTTAAATACCTGTTCAGACGGTAATAGGTTTTTAATAAAAAAAGATCAAGCCTTATATACAATTCAGTCCGCTGCTCATGCCCATAATTAACATTAACATATATGAATATGTATAAGGTTCATAACAAATCATACATTTAAAATTTCACAGTTTTTCTATCGAATTTATCTCTTCAAACTCATCAATGAATGAGAAGTTCTTTTTTTCTCGTGTGGTTATTTACTTATATAAACAAAATGAGAAAACATTTATCTAGTTGATTAGTAGTTTCTTTAATGTGTCTCGTACTTTGCTCTAACCACCTATTGTTCCACGCAATTTAAAAGAGATTCCTTTTTATCTATTTGCTGTTT